TTCTCTTCGCTGTGCTACATCTCAGGAATCTTTGGACTTCCTCGCTCTGGCGTCATGAAATCGTGAACTGAAAAACCTGGCATTCGTGAAAATGGTGGAAATGAATTACGTGACCTCTCGTGACATTTCAGGCGAGTAAAAAATTAGGAGTGAAGTGTTCGAACTTGACGGTAGCCTCTTAAAAATTTTAAAGCGCTGGTTGCAAATAAGAACTTTCTTTATATTTCACTGGTGCTGTTAAAGAGGACTGAAAGGTGTGGAAGCCGTTGAAAATGCAATTTAGTTTTAACGCAATGTGGAAGTAAATTCGATGAAAACGATTACGAGTCTATTGTGCTCTGTAATGAGCCTGACGAAATAGAATTTACGGTAACCAATTTGCTTGCCATAAAATACAGTCCTCTCTGCGTCAAACTGGTTTACAATACTGTTGCCCTCGTAATTCAAAATAAATATAATAAATAAAAAAAAAAGAATAAATAACTCTTTATCAAATTTTTAGAAAGCTGAATTTATTCACATGGTAGATATTAAAAAATATTAATTTTGGAACACAGTGAAACTTATGTAAAATGACCATCCTTGGTGTCAGGCAATTTTGTATTCTATGAAGATGGGTCGTCTTAAAGAGATAATGCCAATATGCAGATAATAGTAACTCTTACAGATGGCCGTTTGCGACAGATGTCCACGAAACTATACATTGCAACGGAGCCTCTCATAGCTCCCACCTCTGAAAATGACAGTATTTCTTAGAGCGTAAATAAGATTGTTATTGTATTTAACTTCTACAATAACCACCTGTATAGAAAAGTAAAATTATATGGATGTTATTCTATTGAGCGGGGATGGTCGTCTTAGACAAGAATCACTGCATTTGGTATGAAAATAGTTAAAAAAAGAATACCTTTTGTATCTAATACTTTACCTCTTAGAAGGTATTGACAAATTATCTTTTCAAAATCTCTTATTATTCATTAAAGCATGAAGAATATGCAAGTGTGTAGTATGTTCCTCGCATTGGAGGAAAAACCTGCGCTTAGAACTACTCAAATTCAAACACACATAAATAACTCTCCACCTGAACATGTGCGCCTCGAAGACCGAATATTGAATTTTTTTTTTTTTTTTTAATTTATTTCATATCTTGTACGAATATAATGAATTTTTAATTAATAAACTCAGCTATTTAAAAGCTGTATGTTGTCACTCGACAAAATATAAGATAGTTATGTTTCATATTTAATCCGAAAGCTCTGCGATTTAAAAGAAATGTGTTGCCATTCTGCAAAGCGTAAAATATTAAATTTTTTTTCCAGATTAAATCTCTCTGTTACTAATTAACAAAGCGATTTAAAAGGAGACAAAGTTCTTCGTATTTGGTAGGTGAAATCGTGAAATTTCACTACATATTTATATATACATTACGTACATTTGGCCTTTTTTACAGTAACTATTTTAGGTGTTTGTATTTTTAAAAAGTAAGTAAAGTTGAATAAACTGATAATCTGCCACGTCATATTAGAACGATAGTTATATTTTATTTTAGGTTAGCTACAATTAAGGGCAACTTTCTCGCTGGTTATAGAAAAGCAAATGCGGGCAGTCATAAATAACAATGATTGCTAGAAAATTCGAAGCTGATATCGATTTTTTTAATCATTTAACTGACTGGGAAACCAGATAGACCGGAATCCTGTTGGTTGAACTGTTGCAACTTACGTGACGTCAAGCCTTCGAAATCAGAAGAGTGGAATAAAAGCTCCATAATTTTGTTCATTCTTTTTTTAAACCTTCACCAGGTTTTAGTTATTCATTTACGTATTCTTTTCAGTTCATATTGAAAATGGCAACATGTCATCTTCAGGGTGCTTTCGTCGAAGGTCGAATCCTTGTATCTTTATGTCTTCTTTTTTCTTTCGCCCAGCTATCTCTTTGTATCACTTCATTTCGTCATAGGCTTTTATTTCGTAAACTCGGTCATGTTACTTGACTTTGACACCTCCTTATGAAAAATGATAAGTCATTCCATGGTAACCTTCGTACACGCCTTTTGGATCTTGTTTGATAATGCAGCGATTAAAGAAGGGTTTGCACAATATGATTCATTCTGAATGTCAGCGTGTTTTTCCTTCTGTGACCGAAATAATGCAGCTTCAAAAAAGGTTACGTTTTCGAACCAAAATAAAACTAAGGAAATTGTATACATTATTAGCGGGAAAATATTAAATGTCCAATACTGCATAGCAATCTTCCTTTTCTTTCTTTCTTTTCTTTTTTTTTTAATAGCCTCGAAGTCTCTCATGGCGACCACATTTCCTAGACCATCCTCTCTCTAAGTGAAAAGTATTTCTAAGAATATAAATAACATCGAAGTAGTGAAAGTATGAGGTACTAACATAAATAATGAAATAATAATATGTAGATACATTAGGTATTTTGGAAGCAGGAGTGATGAAAAATGAGCAACTCCTTCGCTGGGAATCGAACCACGGACCTCTGGAATACGTGCCCAGCGTGCAGACCACCACACCAAGAAGGGGGGAGAAATGCCTTATATACTCCCTGTTTTAAAGGGCGACTGGGGTTTTTAGGGGACCCAATCGCCAAATCCTGGGTGTGTAAATTCATCATCCACCACCCTTTTAGTTCGGGCGCCACTCTAGTGATATTAGGTATTTTTTGAAAGCACGAGAAGTGGTGAAAAATGAGCAACGCCTTCGCCGGGAATCGAATCACGGACTTCTGAAATACGCGCCGAGCGTGCAGACCACCACACCACGAAAACGGGAGAAATACCTTATAAATAATTAAAATTAATTTAATTATTGTTACTAAATTAGTTGGAAAAATTAATTATTTCATTATTCTACTGTTGGATAACAACTTTCTAAACGGAAATTTCTTGCTAAATGCATGAACATTTGGAATCTCGGAGAAGTGGTTGACTCTTCTTCTTCTATTTTCTTCTTCTTCAGTTTTTTTTTTTTTTTTTTTTTTTTTTTTTTTTTTACATGAATAAGAAACAGCATTCCTTAGAAATTCGTCTACGAAAACATGTCGTCTTGTAGGCAAGCAGATTGTTGAAGATTGAGTATTTGTTTCTTTAATCCAGACTAATTTAGCCTTTATGTTATGCCACAACAATTATCTTCTAGTCTGGACTAAACCTTTCTAGAATTTCCTTTTCTGTTTTGTACTAATACAAACCGTTGAAGCAATACAACCGTCTGTACCGTTGAAGCCTAACACAAGAACTTACCAAGAAACTAATACAAGAATGCCAGCTTAATACAAAAACCGACCAATCACAGCGAAACAAACACGAAATAACATTCAGTCTACGATTTCTCTGAGTCAGTTTCACATTCACTTTCTCTAATACGTTATGGATGATCTGAGGTTTAAGGAGTAGCTGAAACAACATCAAGAACAGGCGACATTCATATTACAGGAGAGTAGAAATGAAAATATATAGTTACTCTGTATCGTTATTGGAATGCAGGTTTCTTTTAATTTAAAGAAATAATATTGTGATGGTTACCTGCAGTTTATCCATCACTATTTTTCATTTGTTATGGTCTTATTTTAACTGAGTACTTCGAAAATTAATTATTCGTGTATGTTAATAACTTTCATCCTCGCCTTTGAATATCGTTTGATGATAAAGCAAGGGTGTGCACATTGTGAGACATTCCTATTTCCATCGTGAACGAAATAGACCGACAACCACATTGCATACAAGACCGCTTTATGTGAAAATATCGAAAAATATGCAAATAAAATTTCTTGATGGGAAATTGGCATCAGATGATAGTCTTTTCCACTTGTGCATAATTTTCGAAGTCCAGAAAATAGTTAAAACTTATAGCAGAATGCAAAAGTGCTCTTACTTTATTTTATCATTGGTTACATTAATTCTAAATCTGGCTTGTAGAATGTGTAAAATAATACCCATTCATTGTATCGAAAATAACTATAAAAAATATTTTTCTTACTTACGGAAACTGTAGTGTTAATATTAGTAGTGTTAGTAGTGTTAATATTGCAAAACTTACACGAACTTTCAGCAGCATTAGTGGCATAGCTGTAAATAGTAACTTTCTGAAATCATCAAAAAGATATAGGTATGGCAACATATTTTCCAAGGACATTTTTAGCCCAGAGGAGCGTTAGCTCAGAAGAGTCTCGAAACGGGATTTTGCATTGGATCACTCACGTTTCAAATTGTTGACACCAAATATTATCGTCCTGTATTATATTTAAAGAAATTAAACACTGAAGAATCGGCATAAATGTTTAAGTCTCAAAACGGGATTTTGCATTGGATCACTCACGTTTCAAATTGTTGCCACCAAATATTATCGTCCTGTACTATATTTAAAGAAATTAAACAAAGAATCAGCATAAATGTATGTATGTTTCTCGCATTATGATAAAACAACGGTACCTAGAGCCATCCAATTTTGAATGACGGAATCCTCCTATGAATATGGGCATCTATCTGGAAGCCCTAATTTGGAATTTGGAATTTGTTTTATTATCGATTTCATATTTTGTAAACATTTAACAAATTTTTGAGTAAAAACTCAACGATTTAAAATCGAACAATGGCAACACTCTACGGGAAAAAAAAAGAAACTTTATCTCCAGCTAGCGGAGCTGTGTATCGGAAATTCTAAAGGTAGGCTCATTTTAAAATTATTTTGGGACATTGCTGTTGAACTGAATTTTATGGTTTAAGTGCAAAGGACACGATATTTAATAAATAAAGGTAACACACAAAACGTAAAAAAAAAAAAAAAAAAAAAAACGCCGCTTTGGATTTAAATTAAAAATCTGAAACCTTTCAGATTTTTTTTCTTTTCCTGGTTTGTTTTTACAGTTCATTATACAACAAAGTTATGGAATTTGTTGATTTCAGAATTTCTTTTCTACACGCCATCAGTAAAAATTCCTTTTCTCTCCTTTCAGAAAAACTGTATGAAATCCTTTTTTTATTTATTTATTTATTTATTTTTTTTTTTTAAGTGCTATCAAGTGGATAGATAGCGTGCATAATTCACAGACTTTCGTCATTGCAAAGATGCTCCTTATGTTGTTAAGTTCCAGGATCTGACGTCATGCGAAGAGATGTTTTCTTATCTTACTGTTAAATTTGTATACTCAGCTGCAGTTAAGATGAAGTGCGATGAGTGCACAAATGACCGTAAGTGACCAGATGTTACAGTTCAAATACGAGACCCTGAGAGTAAAAAAGAGAAAGATAATGATAATATTTAAAAGAAAACGTTAATATTCTTTAAAATCTATAAATATAGTAATATTTACGATATTTAATTTAATATCAATTGATAATTATGTTTTCTTTATTATCGCTTATCTTAAATTATTTAAAATTCAAACTCTGAACAGAAGTATTTAAAACACGTTGCTGGAAATATATATATTATATACGCATATCGCTAGTACATGCAGTGCTGGAACGTTGGATTGAAATTGCAAACGATAATTCTTTGTTAAAAACAAAACACTGCCAACATGCAATTTCCTTTTTAAATGAAACTGCGAAGAAGTACGTTTTTGATAAATAGCAAAATAATAGTAAAATGATATAAATACCGTAAAAAATACTACACTATTATTCAAACTTTTAAATTTTTTTTTTCTTTTGAAGAACAAAATCAACAATAATTGTTTCCAAGATCATTTCGATTATTTAATTTAATTTTTGTACAGTAATATTTGAAAATTTATTTAGATTTTTTTTAAAAATCTTCTGAAGCTTTTTTTACTTTAATAATATTGACTGACATCGTTAAAAATATTCTTAACACAATTTCTGAATCTGGGTATGATTGAATAATGAAATGCATTTCTGAATTACCTTTAAAAGACGTAATTTTGTTTTAATGACAAAAATTATTAAAATAACACGTAGTTTGTAAAATTAGGTATTTCTGATGAAATATCCGAAGCATTTACATTACTTGGATATTTATGTGATAAGTTTAAAGCAACATATAATACTTAAATCCAACAATAGTAATTTTTCACTGGTTAGAAACTGGAAAACGAAAGTTTTCTCGTCTAATTTTTCGTATCGCAGTTTTAGTAGTGAGAGTGAAATACTATACCTCATTTGTTTCATATATTTGTTCTCATTTGTTTCATATCAAAATATTTTTCTGATAAAATTCGTTCCTTTATCAATTGATTCTTGGCAATCTGAAAATAGAACAGTAATTGCAGTAATTCAGAAAATAGAACGATTTCAGATCTCAAAACTCTGGTAAATGTGATATTCTTACTGAATTTTTTTTTTTTTTTTTTTTCACTATGGGAAGAAATAAAATACTAATATACAATGGCTGATTTAAAATGCAGCGTATAAAAAATGACGATGAATAGTGCATTTTATCACAGCTTCACCAAATAAATCTGAACAAAAATTATGCGCTATTTCTATCCCATTTTTTGCGATGGATTCAACTGTTAATACATACTTTCAAATTCCACACGAGCTTTATGAAAGTCATCTGACTATGAAATGCAATAAAAGTACATAAATAAAAATACAGATCTAATCTAAAAAGATCTTCTTTTTTTGGTTGTTAAATATGGTATTATAGAACCTTCTTATTCAATGATTAACCTTTTATATAAGTTTTTAAGTCTGTATAAATAAAAGATTAATTAATTAATATCGTATTTGTCTAATCATAGTAGCTGTGGAAAAATATGAAGAAATTTTTGTTCTACAATACCAGTCTGAAACTTTCGAAGAGCAGTAACTTTATTAATGTGATAAAAAATACTTTATTAAATGTAAACATTTTTTGGCAGCTGAAAAATTAAATTAAAAATATAATAATTTAAAAAAAATGAGATTATTCATATTTTAATAAATATATACGAATTTATGATAAAAAGAAACAGGGAATAGGAGAGCAATGCAAACTGAAGAATGTTTGCAGAAAGAACAAACTGAGAATTAAAAGAAAGAACTAATTCAAATCAATAATGGATAAAAACGACAACAAAATAAAACAGAATCATTTGCTGATTTGATTAAAAATGTGCCATAATAATGCAAAACAAAATGAAGCAAAAGAATGAAAATAAATTAATGAACAAATAAAAGTTTTCCATTAAAAGTTACAAGTGTACGCTAAGACATTCTAAATGCCAAAAAATGTCAACATGATAAGAAGAAATAGTCACAGTTAATTAAAAATTGATAATGCTAATACCTGCAATTTTAAAAAAGACAATTTAATTACAATTTACCAAATATGAAAGATCTATGCAGTTAAGATAACTGATTGGCTGTTCTTTCTATTTTGATTTAAAGTAGAAAATCACTCCATTAATTCTGAACATAGGGAAAAAAAAAAGTGTAAAAAATTAATTTCGGCTTAGTAAATTCAACAGAGTAATCTCCATTTCATTCTTTTTACTTTACAAATTCCAACTGAAAAAAAAAAAAAAAAAAAAAAAAAAAAAAAAAAAAAAATTATTACGTAATTGTTTTAAACTGAAGCTGCTGGCATAAAACAAAACAGTAATAACGTTTTAAATTTTTTATTCCACAAACGAACAAATCGAAACATCTTCCCTTACGCCCGCCGGGAAAAAAAGGCATAGCTACCTTGTACAGTCATTAGGATTTTTTGGAAGTAACACAGACTGAAAAATTAGCAACCGCCTTCGGCGGGAATCTGGAACCTCTGGAACCTCTGGACCTCTGGAATACCGGCCCAGCGTGCAGAACCACTACATCACGAAAGCACGCTAGAAAGGCGGGGGAAATACCTTATATACTCCCCCTGTTAAAGGACGACTGGGGTTTTTAGGGGACCCAATCTCCAAATCTGGGTGCGGAGAATCATCATCCAACAACTCTTTTAATTCTGGTGCTACTGTAGAGTCATTAGGATTTTTCGGCAGCAAAAGAGATTGAAAAATTAGGAACCGCCTTCACCGGGAATCGAACCATGGACCTCTGGAATACCGGCCCAGCGTGCAGAACCACTACAGCACGAAGGCACGCTAGGAAGGCGGAAGAAATACTTTATAACCTAAAAACTTTTGATTGCAGTCTAGTGAGTGCACCTCTATACATTTACCAGTCAAGTTTCGAAAAGCTTAAAAAAAGTATTTAAAAAATTTTTAAAAAAGAAAAAAATCTGAAAGGTTTCAGATTTTAAATTACGTCCAAAGGGGCGTTTTTTTTAACGTTTTTGTGTTCCTTTATTTATTAAATATCATGTTCTTCACGCTTCTAAAAATGCATAAAATTAGCATGAAGTTCAGTTCAATAGCAATGTCGCAAAATAATTTTAAAATGAGCGTATCTTTAGAATTTCCGATACACAGCTCCGCGAACTGGAGATAAAAAGTTTCTTTTTGCCCCGTAGAGTGTTGCCATTGTTCGCTTTTAAATCGTTGAGTTTATTACTCAAAAATTTGTTAAATGTTTACAAAATATGAAATCGATAATAAAACAAATTCTAAATTTCAATTTTGGTCTTCCACGTGGCCCTATTTGTAGGAGGATTACGTCATTCAAAATTCGATAGCTCTGTGTACTGTAGTTTTATCCCAATGCGAGAAATATGCAGATTTTTCATTATTTAATTTCTTCAAATATAATGTAAGACTCTAACATTTAGTGGCAACAGTTTGAAAAGTGAAAACGGACATTTATAGTGATTCAACGCAAAATCGCAAAACGAAAACAATAAGTCCTTCAGGGACAAACTCCCTGTGCGAATTTAATGTTAAAAAGTATCCCGTTTTTAATACGATGTATTCATAAATGTTATTTATTTGAACTAAGTTGCTTATTTGCGTATTTGAAACGGCTTTTCAAATTAATTGAGTTCCCTCATTCATCGTTTTTTCCCTACATTCTCTTTAAAAACGACTTTTAAACGTCATATATTGTATTTAAATGAGCTGTTCAAAGTGGCAAAGCGAAATGCTAGGGGGAAAACTTGTTATGATATTATTTCATCATAAATCATCATTACATGGAAATTTATAGACGATATGTAGCTGTGCATTTATTTCACGCGATCGCTCGTTTATAAGGCTTGTGATAAATATTTTCTTGAAATAACAATACTTTGTATTTTGCCAGGACATAAATATCGATTGACACCTCGAAGAATGTTCGAGATATTTAAACGCAAAATCTAAAACCAGATAAACTAAAAACATGTTTTAATTAAAATTCCACCATATTTTTTTTCACCGTGCTCTTTTATTGAGTTTAAATTTATCCCCATTATGTAATATTATCCATTACGTTACAGCTGATATTCCTGTAAAACAAGTAGTGACATCTGGTGGGTAAGATGAATAATCAGCATACATGTCAGCTCATATTCAAAATATTGGTTTAGTATTTCATTTCTAAATGGCCAAAAATAGCGAATAAAACGAAATGTATAATTTTCGTTCGAATAAATGTTTTAAATGTTACAATACTGTTCGTAGACTTTTTCTAGTAACTATTCGTAATTCTCCTTTTTTAATTATTAATGTCTCTCATTTAAACCCAAAGTATATGATCATTTTATGACAGTAAGATAAGAAAGGTAGTAGTATTGGGAAACTCGTAACAAGAATTTTATAAAAGTAAAAACATAAGACATAAAAACTTTTTAAAAAAAGTCTGGAGTTTTATGCACCTATATTATTTGATTTGCATTAGAATTAATACCATTTCCTAAGCATACAAAATAATAACAGGCCGATAATAACATATAATAACAGGCCATAAATAAATAGCTCGAAGCAGGCATTACTCGAATATTATCGTTATTGCATCGACTTAATAATCGGTATCAGTATAATTATATCAGTATTGGTACAAATTTAAAAATCAGCTATCATTTTAACATAGCTAGAAGTATAAATATAAATTTATGGAATTCGTTTACAGCCTAAAATAAAATTCCAAGTTTTCCTCCAAACTATGCAAGATCGAGGAAAGCAGCTTGAGTTTGAAAGAATGTTTTTCTGTCTAATCAATGTTTTGTCCTATACCAAGTTAACGATATTCGCTATATCGATTTTCATTGGAATGTCATAATAGTAGTGCAGTTTTTGTTGAATAAACAATTTTGTGAGAGCTGTCATGCTTTTTATTTTTTTTTTTTGATTAAAAAAGAAAAGAAAAGAAGAAAAAACAAAACTTGCCTTGCAACGTTTGATCGTTTCGTTGTCCTTCTTGACCTTCAAAAAGAGTTTGTAACGAAGATAAAATAATAAAAAAGTCTGCTGTGCGCGGGATGAGGAGGGGAAGAGTTGTGAGGGGGGAGAAATTTTCTAGAGTAGGAAAAAAAAAAAAATTATAAACTTCCTGCATCGTTGTAAGTTAAAATGGAATGCACGAAAAGGTCACAAAAATAAAATAAATAAAAAATACCGAATTTGGAAGAAAATGAAGAAGGTGAACGAAATAAACAAGCAAAACACGGCAGAGCCAGGTGCTGGTTCGGTTCCACTTCGTAATCACGAGTCTCACTTTTTGGCTGCTGGCTTTTCCTACCCCCTTCTTTTTCCCCCCGCCATTTTTAATATTTTTCCCCCTCACAGAATCCTCGTTCCTCCCTCTGGGTTATAATGGACTGTGCGGTGTTTCCGAACGCTTTGACCTTGAGAGGCTTTTTGAATGTCATTATGGATTTGTTGATGGAGTGCCGAGGTGTTTCTTTTGATCTTACTAGTTTATCGCCGTTGTCTATGGCGATTAGAGAAAAATTATGTGCAGTATGCTAATTGTTGCTTTCTTTTTCCGTGTTCATGAATAGAACATCAAATGCACCTGTTTAAATTTCAATTTCGTTCTCTGGATGCATCTTTTCTTTTTTCATCAGATAAAAACACTGCATCTCTTATATTTCTGTTCATTCGTAAATAAAATGTATTTTAAATGCAGCTGGTATCAGTAGCATGTAGATTGTGCAGAATTTAATCCCAAATTCCTTTCTACCCAGTTTTTTTCATTTAATTTTCGATTCACTGAGAAGGAATTTAACGTCTAGAATTTGAAATTGTTATGTGAAACTCACTGACAGGCGATTTTTTAAACGGCTTTGAATTTTTTGAAAATTTAAGTTGCATATTGACTTAGTTCAGGTCTTCGTATTTTATTTTGGATTTTGTAGTTCCCATATTCTGAAAAACTGTTTTCCTCGCAAATTAGTTTATTTTCA